AATTTGTGTATATTTCGATGTACGTTGAAGAAGAATACATGAATTCCACATTTTCTCTCTTATGTATACCGTATACAGAAATTCCATATTTCTCTCTTCCGCATATTATTTTCTTAACTTGGTATCAGAGCTAGTCGATCTTGAAGCACATCGAGTGTGTCACCCAAGTGTGCATCTAGAGCTAATCTTGCTTCTTTGTCATTTTTTTTCCCATTAAGTCCTAATCAGTCAACATTGATTTCAACATTATTTGTCTCGTCCGATAATCAACGTCAGTCTGTACTATTGTCGCATAGTCTGCAGAGCCCTGTCATCTCAGGAAGCGCTATCGAGTTACTGTTTTATAGCAAAGCCAGCTGCATCAGCCGCTTACTGTTTCTCTCCGATTCCCAGCTTGGTCATTACGATGCCAGCCGCACATGCCGTGTTGTTCGGGAACTATTTTAAAAGCAAAGCCAGTCACATCGGCCGCTTACTATTGCGACGCCAACCACAAAACTCCAGCGACCAGGTCATCGGGAGACTAGGTTCCATTGCAACACAACAGTCCCCACTTCCACCTAAACAAAACAACCAAGAAAACAAACTGGTATCTGTCTTCCGACCCCACATTGCGCCAAACCACAAACAGGACAGATTTGCATGTGCCGTCAAGATGATCTGTCATGGAGGTAAAATAATTTTGTGGGACTTGTTAAGGTCAATGGCGGGGTAATAATTCAAGGAGAATCTCCAAGGCTGTTGGTCAAGCTGTCTATATTCACAGGACATCGACACTTCACTTCGTGACATTTCTTTGCAATGCTTGCATGGTCACCAATATTCAATAGATATAGGCCAAAGCTTGAGTCTCTTTCAAAGACGGTTCTAGCTTTGCATAATGAACAGAATATAGTAGATATAGAACAGAGCTTGAGCATCTTTCGTGGAGGAATCTAGGTAGAGCTTCTTTCCAATGGGGCGAATTCAATCCCTCGTTGTAGATGATTTTGATCGGATTTTCCTCCTCTTTTTTTCCGTTATGAGAAAATTCAGCCTAAATAGCGACTTTCTAACTCATAAAGTATACTTTTTGACAAAACAAAAACTCATAAAGTATACTTCATATGGATTGTAGTCGATTAGTATAAATTTATCAAGTTGGATTAGAATTTGTGACTGCTGAAGAATTCATCAGCAAATCAAGATCTACATTCGTGTATGAAGAAAAAAGGGGAAATACCATAAAAGTTCTAAACATATTGCATTGGTACCAATTTAGTCCTAAACATTTTAATTGAACCAATTTGATCCTAAACATTTTCACATTAATACCAATCGAGTCCATCCGGCCAATTTAGGCTAGAAATCGTTGATATGTACGTTGGTCGTCCTACGTAGTATAACTGACTCTAACATTGATATTTTTAAATTTTAAATATTTTTTTGAATTTTTTATAATTTTTTCTTCTCTTTACCTTCTTTCCTTTTTCTTTTCCACTATGACGGGTGAGGGTTGTCGGCGCTCGCTAGCCACTAGGCGAGGGCTTCACGGCCCTCGCCCACGGCCGATGAGGCAGCCTTGCCTAAGGCCATTGCCAGGCGGCCATGGCCTCGCCGACCACGAGCGAAGCCACCTTCACCCACGGCCAGCTAGGCCAACCAAGTCTAGAGAAGGGTCAACCACGGCTCATCTAAGATTTATATGAGGAGTTGCTCGGCCATGGCTCGATCGAGATCCAAAGGGGAAGTTGCTTGGCCATGGCTCAGCTGAGTTCTGGAGAAGGCTTGGCCGTGGCAATGGTGGCAAAGAAGGTTCTGAGGGTATCGCTTGCAGCGAGCGACCGTGCAATGAGGTAACTAGGGTCGGTGTCGAGGCTCTCGATGAGCGCTCAAGCCTGCAGGAGATGTTGCAGGTTAGGGCTATGGCAAAGCTATGCCTGAAGGCTTGGACAAGCTCAACAAGCATGAAGGAAGAGTGTTGAGTTCCCAGAGATGGCGAGGCCGGCCTCGCCCGAGGGCAAGGGCTGTGACCCTCACGAGGGCCCGACCATAGTGGAAAAATGAAAAAAGGAAAAGAATGAATAGAAAAAATTAATAAAAAAATAAAAAATTTCTAAAAAAAATAATAATATATTATTTTTAAAAAAATATATCAAAATCAACATCATTCGTGCCACATAAGACAGCCAGCAGTCACGTCAGTAATTTCCAACCTAAATTGGTCAGATAGAATTAATTTGCACCAATGTGAAAATGTTAAGGACTAAATTGATCAAATCGAAAGGGTTAAGACTAAATTGATACCAATGCAATAGGTCTGAATTTTTTTGATACTTTTCTCCCGAAGAAAAGTGCTAAGTAATAGAAAATACGAAAGCAAACTGCAGAAGCAACGGGACGACGAACCACGAAATTCAGATTTCTCATTTATGGTTTTTGTGACCGTTGGATTGTCAAAAGCAGAAGAACCAGCTTTATATCTATAAAATATGGATATCCAAGTGTATTGCGGTCCAAATTTGTGGACTAATCTGTTTGATTGAAGGCTTTAAATATTGAGTACGTTCGTTTCCCAAAAAACGAGTAATTTGAAAAATATTTTTCGAAAAATAAATTGGTTATATCGCTTAGATAAATTAGTCAACGGAAAATATTTACATCACATCATCGATAATAATTTATGCATAACTATTTTCGTGGGCGATAAAAAAAAATTCATTTATTTATTTTTGTAAGCTATACAAGCGATTATTTCCAAATCACTTATTTTTCACGAAACGAACGCACCCATTATTCCTTAGGACTTTCCACAAGATTTTTTTTTTATCAATAGACAGATGAACGTAATGGCTAGTAGATGCAAGTTCAAAGTTCGAATATAGAGGCCTATAAGAAAATTTAAACGACGAGCGGAACTGAGTCTGTAGCCAAATGCTTGAAACCAAGAAATGGAAGAACTTTTAGAAAATTGTTTGAGTCTGTCTTTGTATTTTCGCATTCTATTCAGATGGCTATTGTTTCTTATAGTTAGCGAGAATGGCAAACTCATTTGTAAACAAACGGGTGAGTGATTGTACTTAGGAGGAGAAAGGCATTCGTCCAAGTGAGAGAGACAGAGTGCACGAAACGCCCTTTTTAAACGCTGGATGTGTGGTTTGTAGTCTGATTAATGCGTTCTACCGTGCTGAGAGCAACTACCGGAAGAGGGTTCCGAATCTGACAGCGGCCAGATCTATGGCGAGGTAGCCGTAGGAGTCTAACCGTGCGCGGCAGAAGCTTTTCTACCTGTAGCGAGGCAGTATCAGACACTTGGCATAGCTAGCGGTACATGACTGGGTTGCGACAGCTGAAAGAGAGGACGTAGACGCGCAGCGCCCTATCTTAAATTTCATTTATTTCAATGATTGCGATTTGGCTCTGTACATTTTGTGATCTCGTCTCCTTGTTTGATGAATAGCGATCAATGTACAAAAGCTGGAAACTTCACGAAGAGGAAGTTGTTGTTCGCTTGAGAATTTTGACAACCCCGGATGTCAAAATGTTCACGTTAGTATCACGGATTATCTATCTAAAGATACGGATCTGATTATGCTCTTAAGCTTTCTTAATCACACGTTGACCTTTCTTCCCTTGGTAATAATGACACCTTGACCTTTAGCCGCTCAACCATCCATATACGTGGCATAGGCATCATGGTGAAGTGGTCTCGCCTATTCAAATCAATCACTGCGCATATATTATCGACGAGGAAATCAATTAAACATTGCCGAATAATCAAATTTTCCAATTTTAATACATTTATAATTTCACGCTTCACTAAAACGATTAATGTTTTAGAAATTGTAACTATTTTTTTTTCATTAATCACTTCAAACGTGCTCCATGGACACCCGTTAACATATAGATCAATAGATAAATGTTGTTTTTGAAAATAATTTTTGTCTAATTATCCATAGCGTAAAATTTGTTAATCACAAATCGTGAAAAAGCAACCAAGAATTTTGATAACACAACAATATGAATATGGTAAGATGAAGTTAATGGGTGGTTTGATCATGCCACAATGGTAAGCCAATTAATTTCAAAGGCTTGTGATAACAAGTCCCCTCTCGATATACCTGTCAAGTATATTTTATTGGAATTACTCAAGTTTGAAAAGATTGATTGTGAATGCAAAATAATTTTAATCAGTTGGTTACCCAATGCTCATGGGATATTCGTTAACAAAATCTATCATTAAATTGTATCTTCTAAACATGCGACATACGTAGAAACGATATTTATAAAAAAAGTCAAAATGTAAGACACGGCACTTGTTAAATAATCAAATAAAGAAGACCCCAATTGATAATATATATATATATATATATATATATATATATATATGCAATCGCTACTTTGAGGAATCGAGCATTTTCTTGTCATATATACTCACAAGTGCTAAAAGATATTTATTAACACGATCCTATAAGAGTATAGTATCGGATACATTTGAAGAAGGGAAGGATTTCTACCTAACTAGCAAGAACAAAAGAATATCGATATTTTCTATGAGAATCGGAAGATTCACCGAGTTTTGTTTGCGAGTGACTCGAGACATCTATTTTTATATTTAACTTTTAAAATATTGATTACGCATAAAATGATCTAGATCGATGCAGTAAGAGTCACAAAGTCGTATTGATCGGCGATGGGTCGTGTTTCGAGACCACCTAAAGAGTCGGCATGCATCATCGTATTTCCCCGCCTCCCACCGGCTACGGTTAGGTCAAGATTAAGACCTCGCGATGGTAAAACTTCGTGCGGCGCCGATTGGTCACACACGGCGCGCCGGGGCGTGGACCCCCCCCCCCACGCATCCCGGCTGTCATCCACAGAAACGACCCGCGGGCCACGTGTCATAATCAGAGCGAGCCGATATTTTTATTGTATTCTCCTTTAAAAAGATTTTCTCCGTTTCTCCATATTAAGCCGTATCGTCGTCGCTTTTAACGGAATTTTCAAAGCTTCGAGCCGGCTCCTCCTCTTCCTCCTCCTTCCCCATCGCCATTTGCACGGTACAAAAGCAGGCATCCGAGCAGGATATCGCACTTGGGTTTGCCGCACGTTCTTCAAGCTCCCGGATGACGAGTTGAATGGTCTCTGTACCAGAGGGCGCGCCAGAGAGAGCGGGCGGTTTGATTTGACCCGGGACTACTTCGCTTCTCTTCAGCAGGTTTGGTTTTGATTCCTGCGTTTCGTCTCTTTGGCTTCTGGGTTTTCTGTTTCCATCTTGTAGTTTGGTTGTTGAACCCTCGCGCGCTTTTCTGGCCTTGGCTTGATCTTCGCCTGCTTCCTTCTCTGCGTTAGCGAATCTTGTGTTCTTCTCGCGCGTGCTGTGCATGGTTTCTGTTTCTTTGCTGGGAAAACAAGATGTGCTCGCATGTCGTGAGTACTAAAAAAGCTTCTTCGGACGTATCGATCCGGGTGGGACGGTTTCATGTCATTGAGCACGGATATGGGTCGGTAGAAAGTATAAAAAATTTGTTTGTTTTCCTGTTTTTGGCAATCCTTTTACGATGATTATAGGTTCAAGATTATAAGCTTTTACTCTCAGAGCTGCCCAACAGAGCATAAGCATATAAGAATTTCATCCCACAAAAAAAACAGCTCTAGATCTCGTTATGTCTGTTATGGTTCTAAGAATGATCAAGAAAAGAATAATTTGGAGAAGTTGAAATCTTTTTGATCTAATAATCAGTTAGAGGTGTTTCTTGAATTGCAGGGTGGCTTTCCTTTCCTTGTTACTTGCTGAACTAGCAATTTCGCACTTGAACGTGCAATTTCAACTAGCGATTTCGCACTTGAACGCAGCGACGTTATGGCCGAGAGGAAAGTGCATCCGGATTGCGTAAACGCCTCCAATCCGTATCACGAGTGCGTCGAAGCTTGCTTGAAAAAGATAGCCGAAGGACAGACGACAAAGAAGTTGTCTAAGAAGAATTCCGGTTAGTATCGTCGCGAAATTCGATGTTTGGTCAGGTCGCTGCTTTAATTAGTTAAGTTTAAGTACGAAAGCATTAGCTTAATGTGCTTGTGAACTTGTTGAAGGATTAGACAGTTCCCCATTAGTTGCTGAATCACAGGAGACCTCAACTGATTAGGATGCATCGCTATGTATAGTACAGCAGTATTTTCATGCTCTCTGATTTCCTCTTCACTTTTACGCTTTCGAGTCAATGGTTCTTACATGTCATGCCAGGATCCTTCATCGTCTTTCTTCCCAGAAAACTCAGCATGACGAAGAAAAAGGAATTGGATCGGAAGCCCTCCAACGAATCCATCCTGAAGAATTTCAACCTCTCCGATAACCTATCCCCGAAAGATCTGTCTTTCAAGAAGGTGGAGTCATGGGATGCCGAACTCATGTTTCCAAGGGCTCGTTTCAAAGCAAATGAACTTAAAGATTCAGGAGACCTCCAATCTCCTTCTTCTGAGCCTCCGCAAAAGCCCTCGAAGCATGAAAAATCTCTTAAACAATCCAATCCTACAGAGCTCGATGAAGACAAGGTGGATTCCGCTGCAATTGACCGCACTGCAGAACATGGAAGGGATGGGGCATTTGGGTCCATGGCTTCCACTATCACGGCTGTTGACCATCCTTCTGAAGCGAGCGACGAGGTTAATGAGCAAGACCACGAACCCGTCGTTTCTGATTCACACATCCTCAGTAAGTACCGTGTGCAAGAAAGCCTCTCCCCGGTCCTGAAGTCAGTTATTGCCAAGTATGGAGATATAGCAGCCAACTGCCACCTCAAGTCGGCTGCGATGCGCTCTTACTTTGTAGAGTGCGTCTGTTCCGTGATCCAAGAGCTGCGGTGCACCGAGATCTTGCAGCTGAGCAAGTCGAAAATCAAAGAGATGCAGGCCATTGTTAGGGATGTGGAAGCTGCAGGGATCGATGTGGGCTGGCTCCACGACGTGCTAGATGAGATTGCCGAAGCGATTGAGCTCAAGAAGCAGTGCCGTGAAATCGAGGTCATGAAGAGAAACCGTGATGCAGACATAGGATCAACTAGGCAAGAGCTGGAACTTCAATTGGAAGATTTGGCCGAGAAGGAGAAGGCAGTGGAAGCTGCCAAGGCGCGAGTTGCCGAAACCAGGGCCCGGCTCAGCGTGCTCGAGCAAGAATCGTCTAAATTGCAAGAAACAATGCTTTCCATCCAGTCTAAGGCCGATAGCGTCAACTGCAAATCATTGGTAGCTGAAATCTTGTAAGCTAGAAAATGGTAACTGCTTTGAGGACATCCTCGAGTACCTTATGTGTGTCCAATTTGCTAGTTGTTGAAGCATTACTACTGTACATGATGACATTTTAATCGTAGGGTGCGTAGTGTGTGTGTTTGTTTGAGTGAGAGAATTTTTTATGAATTAGTTTTTGAAACTTTCATGCGTTCGATTTGTCGAAAATGATCGGTCAATGAAAAATGATTTACGGTAAAAAAATATCCATGTCTAATGTTAGGAAAATGAATTTCCTAACCTGAAAATGGGAAAATATATCATGAAATTTTCTTGTAGTCTCGAGTGAATTTCCGGGAAATTTCCAGCATTGTACATAGAAATGGATGAATCTATGTACTAAAAGACTTTGCTTAGTGCTCTGAGAGGCGTGTTTTCGTACGCAAAGAGTCCTCTACTAAATTCCAAGTCAACCGAGAATTACTCGAATGTTTCATGACCAAGCGCACTGAAAATTATCAATTTGTCAATCATTCTAGAATCTGGATACCATCATATCTATGATTTTCACGGAACGTGATCCATGGAACGCTGGAAAGGAAAAAAAAACATATTCTTTCTGTTTTTTTTCTGGCCAGCATCCACTGACGACTATGAACCTATGCAAGGTGGTCCAAAATGGATAGCGCAGAAGCAGAAGGCTTCGTGAGGTAGCTTTGGTGAAAGCCGATTCATCTCTTTCTGGGTCAAGAAAGAGCAGCTGCTCCAATTCCTTTATTATAATCCATACTTGCAGAAAAGTTAGCAGTAGGGTTTCCTGTCCTTGTCACAGCCACTATCATCAACTGCCGAAACAGTTCATACCAAAGACAGAAAGCAAAACCCATGACCAAACGTGCTTTTGGGGGTAATTCTACTGAAATTCAAACAGTTACGATCACTGTGCTTTTGATGGCTCCTTTAGCCATGGGTTTGGTTTGCACTGTCTTGCTTTTGTAGTTGTGGGGGTGACTACACCTGATCATTAACCGGGCATGAGCCGCCTCAACCCCTCCCCCCCACACCCCGGGCTAATTGGCCCAAGGAGCTAAATGTTCGGGCTCGGGCGAGCTAGTCCTTTCTTGAGCTCGGCCTTCCCAAAAACACCTAAGTCTTTTCAAATTTTCATATAAGACTTAGATATATGTTCAATCACGGGTCGTCGTGGGCTAGGATTGTAGGCATTGGTACTTGGCCCGATTAGCCCATCACTCAGGTCTAGCTGTGAAGCCATATATCTTCCGTGTTTGGACTTTGGGGATACATGGTTTAAAGTCGCGGTACCTTTAAACTGAGTCGGGTATGATTTGCTAGGAGCTGTTACAGCTTTGAAAGTACTATAATTATGAGATGTCTGCTCAGCATCTCATAGCTATGCGAAATACAATTCCATACTAGAGAATCGGTGCAAAAGCAATATCAAACGATATTCGCTACCATTCAGCTATTAGTTTGAGAGGCTAGAGTCTTTAACAAGAGATGGAATGATGAAATATGATGATTAAAATTGGTGAAATTGGAGTGGTGATGACACTTTGCCCGCGAGAGCAGAAATGTAGGTAATTCTTTATAAAATTAAGCTGCTGTGGCATATGTTCTTTGTCTATTGACCAAAATCGATTTGCTGTCAAAAGCCAAATATTCATATAGACGGACAAAAGAGTTAGGTGAACTGATCCAAATAAGGAGGAATTGAAACGATTTGGTCGACGATTCCAATATAGAAGTCCAACATGGGCTGTTTGCCACCATAAACTCAAAGATGTCAGGCATACTCATTTTGGTTATTTTAAGTTGGTAGGTGCCACGCGATGGCAAGTATAGAACTCGAATTGGAAAATAGTGCGGGGACATATAAGAGAGTACGTCCACACATACTCTCCACTTGGAGGACAAATTGGCATGCTCAATTTACAATGAATTTCGATAAAGGTTTCCATGAAATTAGAAATTATCAAGAACAAAGTTTTTATCCGCATATTTCGTTTTCGCTCGAAGAGATAAAGAGAAACAACGCCATGTTTGGATAGTCTTGTTTTTGTCAGCAAGGCACCTAACAAAATGTACTACATTTGAACTTCCTACCGACCTATTCTCCTTTTATTTTTTTGATTAGAAACCTAACTTCCTAAAAAATCCCTAACTTTAGGCTCCATTCTCAAACTTTTATGTGTTTAAAAGGATCCACAACTTTCAATATAATCTCAAATTTGCCTTCGCATCCAAAAATCACCATTATTTTTTTCAAGATTATCAATATCAAGACTAGTCAAAGATTCATTACGAGAACTTGCATCTTCATCAACACCTTTGCCCGCATCAATATCAGCCTCTCAATACTGATAATTTCGAAGAAATCGGTGGCGATTTCGAGACTCACGAAAAGATTTGGGAATAGAACGAAGGTTTTGGATTTTTTTCCTTTTTCTTTTTGTAATCGAGATTGGACTAAAGAGAAATTAGACCACGACCTGCGAAAACAAGAACAACATCCACGTGTGACAATGTGATTGGCGTGCTACGAGCAAAGGATGCCTATTAATGTGAATGACCCGCGAGAGAGGGATGAAGAGCGAACAGACAAAAAAGTCCCACCAAACAATTCCGCGCGTGCGGGGTCCACACTACGGCACACCCATTTGGGCCACGTGTCTGACCTTGGTCAGAAGCTTCTGTTGCGACTTTTATGTCGAAGAGAGAAAAGACAGAATTTTTTTATTTTTTTGTATTCTGCGCATAAAATATGGGACTTTGTGATGAAAAGGATCGACGTTGAATATTTTTACCTTTCAACGGACGTCAGTCAAATTTTGCAAGCCCCCCGAGAAAGCATTAAAAGGGCAGCAACTTTTCCCGGCACCAACCTCTTCCAGATTGAGACTCCTCCGTTCCGTTCGTACTTCGTAGCTCTCTCTCTCTCTCCCTCTCTCTCCCTGCCTCTACTCTGGTAATCTCCTCGTTTCTCTTGCGGTGTACTTGTCAGTTTTGTCTCTCTGGCTCTACCTTCGTGCGTGTGTTCTTTGATTTGGCTGAAGTGGGTTTCTCTGGCTTATCTTTACCACCTCTGTTTTGGGATTGTTACGCATGTGCTGCAACGATTTTCTTTCTTTTGGGTTCATGGGGGCGAAGATGGTTTTTTGTTTTTGTGAATTTGGGATGTGATGTTTGCTTGTTTCTGATCAGTTGGATTGACTGTCAAGTTAGATCGGGCAATTTCGTTTTGGGGTGGAAAGTGAAGGAAAGGTGCTTGATCTGGCGACTCTGTCGGGGTGATTGATTATATTAGTGATTCTATTCGCGGAAAAAAGATTTGGGTTTCGGCTTCATGAGAGTTACCTCCAGGTCATAAGATGCAAATGAGTTTGAGATTTCTTCTGTTGATAATGGAGATGTCTGTGGCTCTTGATCATGTTGTTGGTGAAGGAAAGGGCTCATTGGTTAATTGTTTTTCATCTGATTGAGCATAATCTTGCATGCACTCCTGCTTGACAGAACGGACTTTTTGGTATGACCCTGAAAGAAAAAAGTGATTTTTCACTGCTGTGAAACTTCAGGACAGCCTTTCGCTTCGAGTTCAGTAAAGATTAAATTACTCTGGATAATCATCGGTAGGACAAAACGGAGCCTTTGTTTTTAATAGCTGGAAAGCATAGTTATGTACATTGAGAATACTGCAAACTTGAAAACATCTGACTATAATTCTTAGTGTGATAGGATATTTATTGATTTAGTTCCTATTCTACAGTTGCCTCTGTGATCTCTGACGAGATGTCTGAGAGGGGAAAAGTACACCCGGGTTGCGTAAATGCGTCCAATCCTTATCATCAATGTGTCGAAGAGTGTTATCGGAAGATTGCCGGAGGCAAGCCTCACAAGAGCAAAAATCAATCAGGTGACATATATATTTTTTTTTTTCTTGGTTTCATTGGTTTTCCTAGGTAGAGCATGTAAACTTCAAAATTTGTATCTTTCATCCTTTTCTTATTGGGCTAATTGTCTCGTGTTATCACTGTGCATGCTAGATCAGGAAAGTGATGCCAGATAAACATGTGATTGTTATATGTGAAGTATGGAAGGGCAACCTCTTCATAGTGTTCCTTAAAACCCTGTGGGAATTTATATTTATCGGATACTTGTAAAGTAATTCATTCTTGGCCATAATGATAGAGAACCGTTGCTCCATTGCCTGATGATTCTTTAAGTGAACATACTCCATTTAATGATTAAGCAACTTATAGTGATGGAGACAACTGACCATGATACTATCCATGATAAAGTTGGAAAATCAATCATATTGTGTCCATAAGACACTTGGCAACTTTGGTGAGAGTTGAGAAACTTTAGATGGAAGTAATTTTGCATATTTGGCCAAAAGATTGCCATCCAGTCTTTTTCTCTCTTCCTTGCTGCATTTGAGGATGGGAAATGTCTAGAAGATTAATCTGACACCTTTCAATATGGTTCCCTGGAAAGAGATCATGTTTAGCTGATTCTTCTGTACTAACTCACAGCGCACAGACTGATCCTCGTGTTAAATAATTTTGAACTTTGAACCGGTGCTAATGTTGTCTTGAACCACTTTGATGGGACTTTGACCACACATGGTGAATATGTCTATGTCTGAATCACATATCATTTTTTCTTTTCTCTGAAACCTGCTCAGACTATCGTGGTGCTGGAGAGGAGCGTAGCAAAATTGTCCAGAGAGAGAGAAGGGTGAATGGTGCTTGTCCTAAGGCATCAAATCCTTACCATGAATGTGGTGAATCCTGCTCACAAAAGGGAGCTCACACAGAGGCCAGGCGGTACAAGAAAGAAGCAGGTTATTCTCAGTATAAATGACTTGCGAATGGAGGAAATCTAGAAGAAACATGTCCTTTTTTCCCTTCCATAGCAGAGCAGTTTGTTTTGTCTTTCTTAATTTGGTTAGCAGAATTCGACAACACTTTTGATGATTATTAAATGAATGTGAAGAAATGAGTGTTAGTACCAGAGGAAGTTACTTAACAGATGACTGTTGTTGGCCCCAAAAAGAGAAAGACATCATCAGAGGAGAATCCTCTCTTTATATCTCCCGTTGTTTAGGACACATGCTCATGTGGTCACACCTTGTTGAAATTATGGTGCATATATCTGCAATATTCAAATATTTGAATCCAGTCCAAATTCTGAGTGTCCAATTCTACTGCTGCATGGCTGAATCCGGAGATATTTTCCTCAATTGCAGGATCTAATGGGGTTGATGCTTCCCAGACTTTGAGCAGGAGAACAAAAAAGGATCCAGATCCTCGGCCCAACTCTTCCCACATGCAGGACAAAGTCACGAGGCCTGTTGTTTCTACAACCTCGACTGTTGCTCCATCATCTCCTCTACACCACACTTCTGAAAAGAGGCACTTGGAGGACAACAACTCGATTTCTCCTATTCCTTATTCTGGAGAAATTCACCCTGAAGATTTCTCTTTCCTTAAGGGCCAAGTCAGGTCTTCTCCTTCAATGCCGACTTCTGGAAATGTCACCCCGGTGCTTCACCTCTCGGTCCGTCCTCTCTCTCTCTCTGGATGCATATGTATTTTGTACAGGCAATTCTTTCTGATACTGTGGATTTGTTTTTCTTTCTGCTTCCTGAGCAGCCTGATCGTGCCAAGGGCCCTCCAATGGAAAGCTTAGAATATGCTGCCAAATTTACACCCTCCAAAGAGATAGAGGAGGAAAACTTTAATGGTACACTCAGGCACGAAATTGTTCCAAGTACCGTCATTGATGACCCAGCAGAAGGCGCTCCGCACTCCAATCGTGGTTCAATGAGCTCTAGCATCTCAGATGTGGGTCACTCCTTTGAAGACAGCGATGATGAAGATGTCCAGTCCGTGATGTCCGAAACCCGTGTCCCAGTTGGTAAATACCATGTGAAGTCCAGCATGTCCTCCATTCTGCAAGCGATTCTCGAGAAGTATGGAGATATAGCAGAAAATTGTGTGTTGGAGTCAATCTCGATGCGGTCTTATTATTTGGAGTCCGTCTGCTTCGTCGTTCAGGAGCTGCAATCCACTTCATTCATGCACCTGACCAAGTCCAAGGTCAAAGAGATGCTGGCTATTCTCAAAGACTTGGAGACTTCACATATTAAGGTTGGGTGGTTGCGAAAGATACTCGATGAAATCTCAGAGGTCATTGAGGTGATTACTCAGCATCAGACAGTCAAGGCAGCGAAGACCAAGTGTGATCAAGGCCTCGAGTCTATGAAGATTTTACTGGAGTTCCAGACAGAAGATCTGGCTACGAAAGAAGCCGAGCTTGCTGAAGCAAAGTCAAAACTAGCTGAAACCAGAAACCGTTTGCGCGAGCTCGAGGTCGAGTCCTCCGAGTTGAACAAGTCCGTTTTGTCCTTGAGCTCCCAAGTCGACGGCTACCATTTTAAGTCATTGTTGGAGGAACTCCTATGAGCCTGAAGATTCTGTGACTAGCTGACTCCCTGGAATGTGATGTACTATGAGCAGCATAAAACTACTTGGGATATAGGTTAAACTTTCGGTCTTCTGATTCTTTTTCTTCATACTTATGCCGCAAAATATACAACATCACTGTGCTTAAACCAACGTTTCCTTTCTGGTTTTGTACTGTTTTGTTCATTCGGTTACTTCCGCATGAATAAGTGTTTTCATATATATATCTTTCTTCTCTTACACTCGCTCTCTCTTTGGTTCATTTCATTCCGATGGCCTTCCTTTTCTTTTATGTGGTTCTCAATCTGCGAAATGGAGATGCCCTCGCATACTATGCAGGATTATAAGATAACTTAATTAGCTCATGGTTATGGAGCATCAAAGTGCAAAAGCAAATTGGATCGGTCAAATTCAGTGTGTTACTTTGCATGACTGGTCCACAAAGCATCTTGTGCTAAACAGATTCAGCAGCTGAATCTTATTGGTGCTTCTAGAATTTGGTGAACAGATTGATAATGGGAAAATCTCCCCATTATGGATTTTCTCAAACACTCTTGATTTATATTGAAACAGGATACTTCCTGTATCCCACCCATTTTCTCGGCCTATATCCAACCCATTAACCCTAGTAAGTCCAAGAACTGTCCCTCTCATGAGCCCAAGGCTTATGGATCAAGGAACCAGGGATAGCAATTGGGAAGAAGAAGATAAGAACAAGAAATCTTGCTTTGCTTGTTTCACTAAAAATGAATAATTTTGAAAAAAAAAATACTTATATCGCTTGAAATAATTAGTTAATAATAAATGTTTCATTGTCGACAGCAATTTATATCTCAATATTTTTCATAGATGATGATAATATTTTAAAGACAAGAAAATTATATCTTTGAATTGTATAAAAACAATACTAAGAGATGATCGACGGAGGAGCGGATAGCCTGCCCAAATCAAAGAGAACCAAAAGGAAAATGGGCGGGTTGGCCCGTGCAACACATCAATCTGACCTTCCACCCGACATGCGCCCGCTCGATAACCATGTCTAGTATAAGACGTATTCATATAATATGAAAATTATAAATAAATAAAAATAGGATACGAATAATAACAATGGGCACCGTTGTTGGGCCTTTTTATTTGTTTTTCTCATGGTTATATAGGTGGGTTTAGGTTAGATCTGAGTTGGGTGAATATTGATCATTTAAATTGCTTAGTAAATAAATGAGTCAATATAGGTTAAATGGGCAGATTTGGGTCGAACCCTTTATAACCCACCCAAACTCACCCAATTTATCCATTTGCCACCTCTATCTATAAGAGGTAATTAAAAGAAATTAGTATCCGAATACTTGACGATTCCATGATTAGTAACCTAGTCAGTAAAGTGATTTTCCTCCTAAAATTGGGATTCGAGGGCGTCTACCTCAGCCCTGACAACAGCGCCCCAAAGACGGTGGCCCCCGGCGGTGGCCCTGAAGACAGCAGCCTCTAACGGTATCAAAAGCAGGCAAATCACAAGCCTCAAGCATCCAAGCGCTTCATCCCTTGAATATCTCCTAGGGAAAATTTCAATTAAGGACCCCAAGTGGGGTCAAATTCTCAAAAGAGGGCCCAAAGTGAACATAGTATCAAATAAGGGCCTGAAGTGCCCAATCAGTCTCAAATAAGAACTCAAAGTACTCAAAAAGTCTCAAATAAGGGCCTAGGTCGCCGGCCGGCCAAAATACCCGCTGGCCGGCGAGAATGTTACTATTCCGGCACCGGAATAGTAACTTTTTATTTTTTTATTATTTTTTCCTTTTCTGTTTTTTTTCTTTTCCTTTTCTTTTTTTTTTCTTCTCTTCCTCCGCCGGCCATAGCCGGGGCCGGCGGAGGTCGCCGGCCTCAGGCGAGGCCGCCCTCGTCGGCGTTGGGCGAGGGCCGCCCTCGCCTGTCTTTGGGCGAGGACTCGGCCTCGCCGGATCCGGCGAGGACTCGGCCTCGCCGGCCGGCCGCGAGGCTCGACCTCGCCGCCGCCGGCGAGGCCGGTCTCGCCCGCAACGACAAGGCCGGCCTCGCGACGCCGGCGAGGTCGAGCCCTCGCCGGATCTAGCGAGGCTCGACCTCACCCGGCTTCGAGCGAGGGCCGCCTCGCCCGGGCCGGGCGAGGTCGGCCTCGCCGCCGGCCGACGGCGGGCCGAGCCCTCACCAGATCTGGCGAGGCCAACCTCACCCAGCCCAGGCGAGGGCCGGCGGAGGAAGAGAAGAAAAAAAAAAGAAAAAAAAAAGAAAAGGAAAAAATAAAAAAAAAATAAAAATTTTACTATTCCAGTGCCGGAATAGTAACATTCTCGCCGGCCGGCGGGTATTTTGGCCGGCCGGTGACCCAGGCCCTTATTTGAGACTTTTTGAGCACTTCGGGTCCTTATTTGAAACTGATTGGGCACTTCAGGCCCTTATTTGACACTATGTTCACTTTTGGCCCTCTTTTGAGAATTTGACCCCACTTGGGGTCCTTAATTGAAATTTTTCCTATCTCCTAGCAATAACCGTCGTACATTGTCAATTCGAAACTCTAATAATAGATGAAGGACTCGACGAAGTAATCGCAGGGTTGACCAAAGGCGATGAAATCAAACCAAGGCTTCCGCTTCACTTCGAGAATCTGGTAAGAGCGGGCGGAGATCGGGGAGGTCCATTGGAAGAGAGAGAAGGCGGGGAGGATGGAGTTGAAGCGAGAGAGAGAGAGGAGAAGAAGCACAGAGTTGAATAAATGGATTGGAAATGGGTTTGTAAATGTGTATTTGGCAACCATTCTGTTTTCGAAAATAATTTTTTTTCAGCATTGATTCTTTTTTATTCCATGCCCGGAACAATTTCTAAGCATTTGAAGATGTTTGGTAACTGTCCAAAATTTAGAAAAAGAACATAAATGCGTTTGGTAATTGCACAAAATTTCTTTTTATTAATAATATTTTGAATTTTTTAATATTTATTTCTTCTTCTTTTTTCTTTTTTTTCTTCTTCTTTCCCTTCTTAGGCCATGGCTAGGTCGCCGGCGACTGGCCACAGGCCAGGGCCTGCGAGGGCGTCGCGGCCCTCGCCGGCTCCGGACAAGGCTGGACCCTTGCCGCTTGGGCGAGGGCGGCTCGCGGCTTAGGCGAGTGCAGCCCTCCCCAAATTTGGCGAGGGCTAGACCCTCGCCGCCACTCTCGCCAGATTCGTTGAGGATGGCTAGCGGCCTAGGCAAGGGCCGTCCTCGGTAGCCTAGGCAAGGGTGGCGGCGAGAGTCACCAACGCCAGATCCGACGAGGGCCGCAACGCCCTCACCGGCCCTGGCCTATGGCCGGTCGCCAGTGGCCGACAGCCGGCCAAGAAGAAGAAGAAGAAAAAAAAAATTTCTTTTTCATTTTTGATTATTGTTCCCAGAATCAAGAAGCAATTTTTTTTTGCTTCTTGATTCTATTCCAAAACAAATTCTGAAAATAAATTTTTGCAAATTTGTGCCTGGGAAAAAAAAATTTATCAAACGGATTTCTGTTCCAAAACTGATTCTGACAACAAAAGAATAGAAATAGTTATTGTTTGACTGGTTGCCAAACGCGCTCTAAAAGACCCAAATAAAACCCATTTTCTTCGGGCTTTTTTTCTTAAACCCATCTATAACTCATACCTTAAAATTAAGGTAATTCTTATACGAATAATTTTCATTTGTGACCCATTTTGACGCCCTACCTATAAATAGTTACTTTCATGTTTTATTTCTTGCGTTCCTTCTTCTGTCCCTTTCCACGTCAGAACCGCCGCACTCGGCGAGACAGAACGGCGGCGATCGTGGGCCGACGAGCGATTTCGGTAGCCCTGCGAGTCTTGCTTTTGAGGATGCTCGGCAGGAGCCCAGGAGTATGTCTGAAGAGAGGAGTGTCCACCCGCATTGCAGGAACGCGCCGAATCCGTACCATGCATGCAGTGCGTATTGCTTCAGAATCATCGTCGCTGAGGCCAAAGCCCGTGATAGGAGAGATTCGGGTAGGTGTTCACTGCATGTGCTTCTGAGTTTCCGCCATATCCAGTGGCTCAACGTCGATCACTCTTCTTTTGAGCTTGTGTCGAGTCAAAATCCATCATGGTGCAACCTTTGCTGATGGGGCTGGACAGGTGTATATAGGGTTTTGTCTTTCGGAGAATTTCCTGAGCGTCGTGTTTTGTGATTTTTTGGGCAATAGAAAGTTTTCCGCGCCTTCTGTTCCTTGAATAACGAATTGTTCTAGCCCTGTCGCATGTAATCATGCCCAAGTTGCTTCTGCTCTGAGTACTCTTTCGCTAGGGACCGCACGATGATCGTACTTTCGTTCTAGTATAATTCCGGTTTTGAGTCCCTGCAACTATGAGGGTAATTTCGAATCCTTCAGTGATGTCAAACTGAGTCTATTTGATTTGATTGCAGAAGCTAGCGCGAAGGGCAGCTATTCCAAACTACATTATCATGAGGCTGCAGCTTCGCATGATGAGATAGATGCTGACGGTGATAAAAAACCGCCGGTTGAGGGAAATGGGGAGGGGGACATCACTAAACTTACGGGAAGGAAGAAGAAATTGTTTGAGTTAAGGCCTAAGATGGTGTGTAACTTTACTGGAACAAAAGCCAATCTCTTTTCCAATATAAATTATTTAAGTTTTCTTTGTTTTATATATTAGTATTGTACTCTAACGAAATCAAATGCCTCTCTTATGTCTTTCTTTCGTTTGGTAGAATGAGGCGAGGAAGGCTAATCAAACTGCAATGGCCCACCCGGACTGCAGGAACACATCGAATCCGTACCATGAATGCAGTGCATATTGCTTCAGAATCATCGTTGAGGCCAAAGCTCGTGATCGGAGAGATTCAGGTAGGTGTTCTCTGCATGCGCTTCTGAGTTTTCCGCCATGTCCAGTAGCTCACTGTCAATCACTCTTCTTTTGAGCTTGTATCAAGTTAATATCCATCATGGTGCAATCTTTGCTGATGGGGTTGTACAGGTGTATATATGGTTTTGTCTTTTGGAGAATTTCGGAGGTGTCATGTTTTGTGATCAGTTGGGCAATAGAAAGTTTCCGCGTCTCCTGTTCCTTGAATAACGAATTGTTCTAGCCCTGTCGCATGTAATCATGTCCAAGTTGCTTCTGTTTTGAATAATTTTTCTCTAGGGACCACGCGATGATCATACTTTCATTCTTGCGATTCCAGTTTTGAGTACCTGCAACTTTGAGGGTCATTTCGATTTCTTCAGTGATATCAAACTGAGTCTATTTGATTGCAGAAGTAGAAGAAGCTAGCAAAGAGGGCAGCCATTCTAAGCTACCTTATCATGAGGTTGCAGCTTCGCGTAATTTGATAGATTATGCTGAAGAGCCTGCTGATAATGATAACAAACCGCCGGTACAGGAAAATGTGGAGAGGGACATCACTAAACTTACAGGAAGGAAGAAGAAATTGTTGGAATTAAGGCCTAAAATGGTGTGTAATTTAACTTAAACAAAAGCCAATCTCTTTTCCATCATAAATGATTTAAGTTTTGTTTGTTTTATTTTTCAGTATTGTACTCTAACGAAACCAACTGCCTCTCTTATGTCTTTCTTTGTCTGTTAGAATGAGGGAAGGAGGGCTAATCAAACTACAATGGCCCACCCAGACTGCAGAAACACGTCGAATCCGTACCACGAATGCAGTGCATATTGCTTCAGAATCATTGCTGAGGCCAAGGCTCATGATAGGAGAGATTCGGGTTGGTGTTCTCTGTATGTGCTTCTGAGTTTTCCTCCATATCCAGTAGCTCAATGTCAGTCACTCTTCTTTTGAGCTTGTATTTGATTAAAAAATGAAAATCCATCATGGTGCAACCTTTGCTAATGGGGCTGTACAGGTATGTAGGTTTTTGTCTTTTGGAGAATTTCGAAAGTGTCATATCTTGTGGTTGGTTGGGCAATAGAAAGTTTTCCGCGTCTTCTGTTCCTTGAATAACAAATTGTTCTAGCCCTGTCGCATGTAATCATGTCCTAGTTGATTCTGTTTTGAATACTTTTTCGTTAGGGACCGCACGATGATCGTACTTTCATTCCAGTGATTCCGGATTTGAGTCCCTGCAACTTTGAGGGTCATTTCGATTTCTTCAGTGATATCAAACTGAATCTATTCAGTTGCAGAAGTAGCAGACGCTAACGCGGAGGGCAGCCACTCTAAGCTACCTTATCATGAGGTTGCAGCTTCGCGTGATGAGATATATGATGCTGAAGAGCTTGCTAACGATGATAACAAACCGCCAGTTGAGGAAAATGTGGAGGGGGACATCGCTAAACTTACAGGAAGGAAGAAGAAATTGTTTGATTTAAGCCCTAAGATGGTGTGTAATTTAACTTAAACAAAAGCCAATCTCTTTTCGAACATAAATGATTTAAGTTTTGTTTGTTTTATTTTTCAGTATTGAACTCCAGTGAAATCAACAGCCTCTCTTATGTCTTTCTTTTGTTCTGTAGAATGAGGCGAGGAAGGCTAATCAAACTGCAGTGGCCTACCTGGACTGCAGGAACGTGTTGAATCCGTACCACGAATGCAGTGCATATTGCTTCAGAATCATCGCTGAGGCCAAAGCTCATGATAAGAGAGGTTCGGGTTGGTGTTCTCTGTATGTGCTTCTGAGTTTTCCGCCATATCCAGTTGCTCAATGTCAATCACTCTTCTTTTGAGCTTGTATGTGATTAACAAATGAAATTCTGTCATGGTGCGTCCTTTGCTGATGGGCTGTGCAGGTATGTAGGTTTTTGTCTTTTGGAGAATTTGAGAAGTGTCATGGCTTGTGATCAGTTGGGCAATAGAAAGTTTCCGCGTCTTCTGTTCCTTGAATATCGAATTGTTCTAGCCCTGTAACATGTAATCATGTCCAAGTTGATTCTGTTTTGACTCTTTCGCTAGGGATCGCACGATGATCATACGTTCGTTCTATTAATTCCGGTTTTGAGTCTCCGCAACTTTGAGGGTCTTTTCAATTTCTTCGGTGATATCCTATTTGATTGCAGAAGTAACAGAAGCTAGCGCAGAGGGAAGCCATTCTAAGCTATCTTATCATAAGGTTGCAGCTTCGCGTGATGAGATAGATGCTGAAGATGATAACAAACCGCCGGTTGAGGAAAAAGTGGAGGGGGACATCACTAAACTTACAGGAAGGAAGAGGAAATTGTTTGAGTTAAGGCCTACGATGGTGTGTAATTTAACTTAAACAAAAGCCAATCTCTTTTCCAACATAAACGATTTAAGTTTTGTTTGTTTTATTTGTCAGTATTGAACTCCAACGAAATGAATAGCCTCTCTTATGTCTTTCTTTTGTTCGGTAGAATAAGGCGAGGAAGGCTAATCAAACTGCAATGGCCCACCCAGACTGCAGGAACGCTTCGAATCCATACCATGGATGCAGTGCATATTGCTTCAGAATCATCACTGAGGCCAAAGCTCGTGATAGGAGAGATTCGGGTAGGTGTTCTCTGTATGTGCTTCTGAGTTTTCTGCCATAACCAGTAGCTTAATGTCAATCACTCTTCTTTAGAGCTTGTATTTGATTAACAAATGAAAATCCATCATGGTGCAACCTTTGCTGATGGGGCTGTGCAGGTATGTAGGTTTTTGTCTTATGGAGAATTTCGTAAGTGTCGTGTCTTGTGATCAATTGGGCAATAGAGAGTTTCCGCGTCTTCTGTTCCTTGAATAACGAATTGTTCTAGCCCTGTCGCATGTAATCATATCCAAGTTGATTCTGTTTTGAGTACTTTTTCGCTAAGGACCGCATGATGATCATATACTTATATTCTAGTAATTCCGGTTTTGAGTCCTTGCAACTTTGAGGGTCATTTCGATTTCTTCAGTGATATCAAATTGAGTCTATTTGATTGCAGAAGTATCAGAAGCTAGTGCAGAGAGCAGCCATTCTAAGCTACCTTATCATGAGGTTGGAGCTTCGCGTGATGAGATAGATGATGCTGAAGAGCCTGCTGACGATGATAACAAACCGCCGGTGCAGGAAAATGTGGAGGGGCACATCACTAAACTTACAGGAAGGAAGAAGAAATTGTTTGAGTTAAGGCCTAAGATGGTGTGTAATTTAACTTGAACAAAAGCCAATCTCTTTTCCAACATAAACGATTTAAGTTTTGTTTGTTTGATTTTTCAGTATTGTATTTTAAGGAAATCGATAGCCTCTCTTATGTCTTTCTTTTGTTCGGTAGAATGAGGCAAGGAAGGCTAATCAAACTACAATGGCGGCTGAAAATAAAAAGTTGGAAGCTCCAACTGAGTTGAGGGGTATCTCTAAGCAAAAGTGGCTAGACGATAGGAAGAAAAATATTGGGAAACTTCTTGATGCTAGTGGTCTTGATGTGTCAAAGGCATATACACTAGATACACAGGAGATGGCCGCGACTAAATATATGAATGGGAAAAGGATCCTGCTCCTTACGGTTGGGTTGGTACGTATTCAATTTGCTGATGAACCTGGTATGTTTGCGCTTCTCTTTGCTTATTGCGTGCGTGCATTTGTTACATACTAGTTTCTGTCCTACGTACTCTAGTAGCTTCCTTCTTTTTGTTTTCGTTGTTTCGAGCCATGGGCTGGTTGCTTGGTGAAATTTGATGTATGTAGTGCTAATAAGAGTGGGTGATGTGCTGTATTTCCTTTTTCCCTATTAGTTTTAGTTGAAGCACATAACTTTATTTTACCTGCAGTTGCATGAAATGTCATCAAAGATATTTACTTTACCTAGAGCGTTTAGGCTTGGTCATTTGTCCTGATACAGGGGATCGTCACTGAAAAACAAAATGCAAGATGGAGCATTTTTATTGTAGAGAGACATGTGTCCTAGCTAGATATGATGTATTTGTTCTTAAAGGACTAATGCAGTTTCTCCAACAGTCTTCAACCAGAAGATTCCTTATTGCATTCAAGAAGCGCACGAAGAATATAGATATTGACTTAGACGAATATAACAAAATGAAAGAAGCTGATCCCAAGTCTTCAATATGGCAAGGTAAATCAAGGATACTTTTTCCCCGCCGCTGGTTATATGCTCATTTGAAGTTTAACTAGCTCATGTTACCTTATTGTGCCGGCACCTAAGGTTTCCGAGGATAAGATTGACAAATGGTACAGCAACTCAAAGACTGGGATGAAAAGCGCAAGTCCTTTAGTAGGGAGAGGAGGTTCCATGACGAGAAAGACATTGACTCTACCAATGACCGCAATGAGCACTTCAACAAGAAGATTGAACGTGCCTTTGCGAAATACACCCTTGAGATTAAAAACAACCTTGAGCGAGGAACTGCTTTGCCTGATTGAGAGGTACTTGATGGTTGTTGCCTTGGATTTTGTCCTGGATCTTATTTCTAGTGGTGTAAGTGCACTGAATCGAAGCAAAGAACTTCTGCTGCTTTTCTCTGCTATTTTTTTTTTTTCATAAATTGTAGAATTATCTGGTGTAAAAGATGCGCTTTTAGATTACTTCGACTGCAGCTTGCCGTGAATGGCACGTAGGTTCTGTTCATGTGATACAAAAAAGTTGCTCGTGGCGGCTGAGATTCATTCTGGATATTTCTTTTTGCAGCAACTTGACAGGCGGGGTGCTTTTGCATCTGAATGGAACTTGGAAATCCCTTAGGTTACACGTCCGAATAGAGCATAAGCAGAGTTACGTGGAACCTTGGTGAATGAATCCACATGCCTTGGTGGGTATGAAATAGAGTTACACGTCCGAATTATTCTAGAGGTTCTCAGACTGGTTTTCGAGAGTGTGGTCTAGTTAGTACTTTGGCAAATAATAATGGACTAGTTGAGCAAGAAGACCATAATCAAGCATACGACAGTAAATTGACTGAGCTGAAATGCATTCACCCAGTAAATCGACTGACCAGTAAATCATACAGGTGCTCGGATAGACCCTTGAATTGGACCAGAAAAATAGGGTAGGCTCCATAATCGAATCTAGGCAAACAGGGTAGGTAAAAATTGGGGCCTAGAACTTACTCATTCCGGAACCAATCATCCCTAAGCCTCACTATATCAGAGACTCAAACACTTTGCTGTACCTATTCTGGAACCGATTACTCCTGAGCCTCACTGCATCAAAGACTTGAGCACTTTACCGTGCATCAAAGACTTGAGCACTTTACCGACCAAAGAGTCTTTCTGGCACGGGGAACTCTCTCTCTCTCTGGAGAGGTCACAATTTTGTCTTTGGGCTTGGGACGAATTGGCCCCCTGATTGCAAAGAAAGGGACCCTTTTACTTACATGGCGGCGGCGGTCATGACTGATGGGTGGTAAACTTTGTTAAAAGAAGGGAAAAGAGACCCCTTTTCACCATTTTCTTCAACCTCTTCGTACCACTGACCCCGAAGAACGCAAAAGCAAAAAGAGAAAAAGAGGATTTACAGGTACAGAAATGAAGTCACTCTCTCTCTCTCTTCTGGCCCTCCACCCCCTTTGGGAATCGGATCCCCACACCCTCTTTTTCTTTTCTGGTCTGTCTACTTTGACGTCCTATTGGCTGGGTGGAGGTTTTGAGTCCCCCAAAGTAGGACAGCACTTGTCCTTTCACCTCTTGTCACCCTGGCTTTCTTTGCAAAGATCAAATAGCAATTCAGCCCTCGGTGGAGACACTATAACGTTTCAAAATCTGACGAGACCAAGACGCCAACTCAAAACCTCATCAGTTTAGACCCAAAAAAAAAAAACCTCATCAGTATACTTATCAGTACCAGGTGTGTTTCCTAGATACACGTGGAAATGTTCATCCTCCTATTGATCACGCGTGTTCCTAGTCCAATTCTAGTTTACGCGTGTTCCTAGTCCAATTCTAGTTTCTACTGAATGTCTCTCTGCTCATCGTTAGGGTCTTGGTTGAAGGATTTAAGTCCCCCTACAGTCTACACACTCGTCTTGATCAGGGTTGGGTGGTGTGTTATTTCTTTGGATTATTTGTCGGGTTGATTTTTCTACAGGAAAGTGCGCAATCTTAGGGGATAGAATACGAAAGAAAAGAAGGGAACACTTCCACCACTAATCATGAACAATAATAACAATAATAACAGCAGCAATAATAATGATACAAGGTCTAAATATTACCCACCCACATATAACGAAGCATCAATAAGTAAAGAGGGGGTCCATCATCATAGTGTTCTCTCTCATTCACACAAACAAGCAAATGGAAAAAAAATTAAAAAGAAAAATTTTAGTTGGTGTGATTACTGCAGAGGAATTGGAGAGCCTTGATGGCAGATGCTCTAAGGAAGAATTGGAGAGCCCTGATGGCAGATCCTCTGATGATGTACTGGTGATATGCTCTTGCTGCTAGTGCCCCACAAATGGTCCAACCAAGAAGATCCACTGCTCATGAAATTCCACATCCACAGACATCAATTATTACTAGCCTAAAATCATTATCTTAGCACACTAATATCAAATCCAAACTCGCACGTAACATTTTTTAATGAAAGGGTCATCAAAGCCAGAAGAACCAAAGTTCTTGCTGCCATAAATGCAAATGATTAGCATAGTTTTTAGCTGTCTCCAAATGTGTTAATTCATGTAATAAAGCTTAGTTTATGGGGAGAGAGAGGCTATACCTGGTCATCCCAGACTTTGTTGTTGTTGTAGATAACAGCAGCACCAAAGCTCCTAGCCAGGTTAATACCAGTGCCGGTGATGGGGATGGTGGCCAGGTGAAACACTGCAAAACCAATTGGCAAAGGAGACAAAATCTGCACACCCAAACACATATCCATCTCATTAGAAAAGTTACTTCATTTGTCAAACGAACAGCTACTCCGTTTGCACTGGGGAAGGAAGAGCCTGGTTATTAGTAGTTGCAGCAACTAGTAAGTAGAACGTACCGGCCCGTGAATGTTTCGAGCATCCCTCTTTGAGGAGTCACTGGCCGAGAACACAGTGTAAACCAGCACGAAAGTGCCGACAATCTCCGCTCCCAGAGCCGTGCCCGTGCTGTAGCCCAGAGCCACCGAGTTGGCACCACCTCCGAGCATGTCGTAGTAGGGCTTCATGAATGCCTTCACCAACCCTACACCACAGATCGCGCCCGAGCACTGAGCGATCATGTATGACACTGCCCTGTTCAAGCTCACCCTCTTTGCCCAAAATAGCCCGAATGTCACCGCCGGGTTGACGTGGCCACCTGTATTGAAACAAAAAAAAAACATTACAGAAAACACATCAAACCCCTGAAGACCTTGATAAATGCGAACTTTCATGAGTTCTAGAGCAATCACTCGAAGGAACGATACTTTAAGGACTAGAGCATGAAAGTGAAAGAAGCTTGTGAACATGAGACCACTACAAATGAAACAAACAGTGTCGAGATTATCCCACGTCAGGCCATCAACAAAAGATGCAGATTTTGAAGAGTTCTTGAGCTACCCATTCACAAACAAAGGAGCGAACTTCGAGGACTGGAGCACGAAAAAACTAGAGAGACTGAACGTGGGAGAGCCGTAGAACGTACCAGATATGCCGGTGGTGCAGTAAACGAGGATGAAGATCATGCCGCCAAAGGCCCAGGCAATGCCGAGGAGGCTGACACCATCACAGGGCCCGGACTGCTTCTTGTGGCCGATGACGGTGGCGACGGTTACGTAGAGGAGGAGGAGGGTGGCGATGAACTCTGCAATGAGGACTCTGTAGAAGGACCAGTACTTGACCTCGGCCATGTTCAGGAGAGGAGCTGGTGGAGGGTCCACGTAGTCCTTCTCATCTCTCCACACCACATGGTAATACATCTGTCCTTCTTCTCTCACTTCCTCTGTCATCTTCTTCGCACTTTGAAGAGCTCGGTTATCAGCAGCAGCAGCAGCAGCAGCAGCAGCACTGACAACAACAACAAGAGCGAGGAAGAAGACGGGGGCAGATGGCGGAATATGTGTATAAAGAAAGGAGTAGTTTGGGAACGGCAGAGGCTTTTCATTTTTTTAGCGTGTTATTGCTTAAGGAAAGACAAAAGGGTTAATATCGCGAAAAATCCTAAAATGATATATTTGTGATAAATTTATCCCAAATTAAAGCTCCAGACTAGTACACATAAATTTAACCCCCATTAATCTTCATTAAATTTTAACTTAGAATTTTTTTAGTCGAATGATATGTGATAGTTTGATAGGTATACCGATTTGGGATTTTACCATCCGTTTGTCACAGGTGTACCAGTTTGTGATTTTCGTAATATTAATTCAATTTAATGAAAAGTAAATTTGTCATAAATGTACCAGTTTAAAATTTTTCGTGATCAAAAAATTAGTTTATGATAAATTTATTACAGATATATCAGTTTGAAGTTTTTCGTGATATTAATCTTTAATACGTTGGTCCGGTATATTATGATTAATTAAAGCATTTTGGCTCTTCGGTGGGTGGGGACTTTGGAGGTCCTTTTGAGTTGTAAAGAAGAATCAAATCATCGCCAAGCATGCCTTTTAGCCGGGATTTTCTTTGATTACTTGTTTTCACGGGTAATTGTGAAAATCATTATCGACTTTTACTCTCCATATCAAACACTTTTATTATATTTCAAAACCTATATTTTGCATCCCTCCCATCTAAAAAGAGACCGTTGTCCTCGTGCATGTAAAAAATCTTCACCGAAACCCCTCCTCTCCTACTCTCGGGAAAATTGTCAAATCAGTCCTAAACCTATTGTACGGCGGCCAATTCAGTCCTAAACCTTTTAATTTTGCCAATTCAGTCCTAAACCTTTCTAATTCTTGCCAATTCAGTCCTTCCGACCAATTTTGTCCGGCCAACGCTGACGTGGCAGCCGGCCGTCCGGCCAACGCTGACGTGGCAATCTTTTTTGTCCAAAATTGGCCGGAAGGACTGAATTGGCAAGAATTAGAAAGGTTTAGGACTGAATTGGCAAAATTAAAAGGTTTAGGACTGAATTGGCCGCCGTACAATAGGTTTAGGACTGATTTGACAATTTTCCCCCTACTCTCTTACCCCGCCATTTTTCTATCCTCACACACAGTGGCACAGCATGACAACCATCTAAAGCCATCGCCATA